CAGCGTGCTCTGCTGTTCCTTCTCGTCAATGCTCTGACCTCTGCTGTCGTCACGCGGCAGCGCCCCCATCTTGGCAGGCTCTGACGCATCTGGCCGATCAGTCGCAAAGACGACTCCAGCGACCACTTGCCTGCGACTTCTTATTTAAGTTATCGCAGGAGCCGCCCGGATCTCTCCCTTTTTTGCCACCGCGGAGTGACCTGATCATCGGACCGGGCGAGGCAGGATCCAAGCGCTTCGGAATTTCACGTCGTCAGCCGAGTCGACTTCCTCCAACATCCCTCAGTGGCCGGCAATTAATTGCATTCTGAGAACGTGGCCAACGTCCCGGCACAGATTCAAGGTCGCTCTCTCAAGGCGCGACCACCTTCTGGTTATTTTCTACCGCTCTTGTCTCCTGACTGACAGAACGCGCGTGCACGTGCTTGGCTCTACTGCTCATTTTTCCCGCACGTCTGGTCCTGGTCTCGCTGCGCCTGGACTGACGTGAAATAATAACTGAAAAATACAGCTCATTTCCACGAAGAGAATCAGTTCTGTGAAGGGAATACTTGCGATTCAACATTTCGAAATGACAGATTGACGTGCATATCGGAGTTTGAGAACTGTTCAGACTCGCATCAACTCCGTAGCTTCTTATTGAAGTTTCGCACCACGCAACTCGGAAAACGCGGCACTGTCTTCAGGGCCATCGTTGTTCAATTTCGAACCGGGACACCTAGGTCAAGGATTCGCTTGTATCCTGCTTTGAACCGACCTAGACCGTAACTCGACGTTCGGGTTTTACCCTTGCTCGCAGCGGAATTCGGGGAAGACGCCACGTTTCGAGACGGTTTCGCAAAAGCATTGCGGTTGCCCTATGCCTGCCAATGATGGTCGTACGGGCCAAGACAACCGGCCACAAAGTCGCGATATGATGGATAAGGCAGCCTTTCAAGTCATTGTCCTGGTGAGTGCGTCTTCATTTTCTGCTGCATCTTGATACTATTTCTATTCAGCCCGTGGACATTGTCGAGAAAATGCAATTTTCGTGAGAAATTTTGCAGTTTTATCTCTATCTATTTTCTGCTTGTCTGTATTGTTTTGAATTGTCCGGGGTGCTCTTGCAACAATGACTTTCAACTGTTGAGTGACAATGAATCTCTGTCACAATAACCTTGTCCGAATTTAGCGTCCCAGACTTAACATTTCTTTTGCATCCAGGGTCCTACTGGGGGTCCACGGGAGGATAATGTCACTGGTCTCCTGGTGCGGTCAACCTCAACGGAGTGGTCCAAGAGTTCGGTCGTGGCAGTGGATGCGGGTACGCTGCTTGCTGGAATTATTCGAACTTTGGAACAGCACATCACCGTCACGAAGGATGGAAAAGCCTTGATGAAAGAAGGACCGTTTGTTGGTCTTGATCTTCCCCATGCAACGGCGCAGGCCAATGCCGCCTACATTTTTCGCGAAATCATCGGAGCGGTCCTGATCACGCACCCTCATCTTGATCACCTTTCTGGCTTGGCGATCAACACGCCCATGCTGGAGGCTGGCAATGGTCCGAAGACTCTTGCGGCTCTTCCCTCGGTTATATCAGCCATCAAGAATCACATGTTCAACGACATCATCTGGCCGAATCTCTCAGACGAAGATGGCGGAGCAGGTCTCGTCACGTACCAGCGTCTCGTTGAGGGCGGGAACCCCCGATTTGGCCGTGGTGAGAGCCGGGGCTATGTTCGAGCGTGCGAAGGTCTGGTTACCAAGTGCGTGAGCATTAGTCATGGGCGTTGCAAGCAGCGATACCACCCTGAGACGGGCAGGCATCATCGAGTGGGCAGCGCCGTCTTCACCACCGACCCGTTAGTGGTACCGTCCAGAACGTTCTCTGTGGACCACTCGGATGGAGGGTATGTTGCATCCGACAATTCAATGGGTTCAGAAGACTGACAAACTTTTGACCAGCATATATTCTCCTTGTACCCCGCATCCTTTTGTCCCACTGTCCAGTACCGGTGGGAAAGACTCCGGCTGGGCTACCGTCGAGAGTTCCGCGTTCTTTATCCGTGATGGACTGACAGGGAGCGAAATCATCGTGTTTGGAGACGTCGAGCCTGACTCTGTTTCCTTGGAGCCTCGCAACAAGCGCGTATGGGAGATCGCCGCGCCCAAAGTCGCATCAGGCTCGCTGCGAGCGATTTTCATCGAGTGTTCCTACAACGACTCCGTTGACGACAACTCGCTTTATGGTCACTTGTGTCCACGGCACCTTATTGCAGAACTGAAAGTGCTCGCGGCCAAGGTAGTGGACGCTCAGCAGGCCGACGGCCGACGCCGCTCTAATAACAACAAGCGAAAGCGAAACGATTCCGACTCGGCAGACGATGGGAGCGAGCAGGTCAGTCCTCGGACGAGGCGGCCAGTGCCCCATGTGCCAGCAAATTCATGTATAGGGGGCGACTGCATACGAGAGTCGATTTCCGCACAAAGTACCCAACCACGATATAATTCTAGCGATATCAACGCGCGAGAGTTGCAACCACCAGAACGCACACCTAGCGTCACCGAATCTATCAATGCCGGTGATGCAAACACGCAGCCGACCGTCCGATGGGCGTCAGACTCCTCCGACTCGACGACAAGACCACCCCCATCACCGCCGCCTCTGGCGGGGCTATCAGTGTACATCATCCACATCAAAGACACCCTGACCGATGGTCCGCATCCAGGAGAACAGATCCTGCAGGAGCTCCGGACCCAAAGCGAAGAAGCGGGACTTGGGTGCGAGTTTTTCGTTCCAAAACAAGGGGAGGGTATCTGGATATGATATGATTTGATTTGATTTTATTTTTTTTTCTTTCGACGAAGGTTTTCCGTATCGTAGGCGTTATGGTTCTTCTCATCGTTCTCATGGTATGAAAGCTGGCAATATAACACAGCAAACAAAAAAAGAAAATGGAGTAATGAATGACATGGCATGGCATGACTCGTCTTCTTTTTCTTCTTATTGATACAGAAACGATCTGTTGGAGTTTCTTGGATTACGGTGTTTTCGGTCTCTTTTTTGATATTTTTATTTTACTTCTCCACTGTTTTATTGGACTCTCTTTTTTGATCGATCGATCGATGATTCGATTGATTGATACTCTATGTACTGTACGTACATATAGACAGTTGAATACGAAAAGGAAGAATGCAGGGATAGTTGCTTGGATCAGGTCATCCGATAAAGTAACTGACAATTCTTACTTCCTCTTTGCCTCAGCAATGATGTCAACCCAGCGTGATTCATGTGGTGTTCTTAGTCCCTTGCCGACCACCACTGCATCTTCAGCAGCAGCGGCGGCAGCAGCACTAGAACCAGTGGTGGAAGAAGCTCCAATGTCGAGGTCTAAGATACCCTCACCGTCCCTGGCAAACGCGATCAGGGCCTCCTCGCTGCCCCATTCGGACATCCCCATGATGCCCACCGGCATGTTGGTCCCGCGGACATACCCTGCAGGACAGCTGATGGCCGGACAGCCGGTAAAGTTGGCCAGCCACGAGTACTCCATGTTTCGCGTCGAGGCACTGCCATCGGACACACCGTGCGTCAGGTCTTTCTCACCGCCTGCGATCTTCCACCCGGGAATCGGGGTCGTCGGGGTCATGATGATGAGGCCGGGATAGCGCTTGAAGAGATGTGCCAGATGCGACATGAGGAGCTGTCGCAGCTTCTGCGACGCAATGTAATCCTGACTGGTAGCCTTGCTGCCGCTGACGGCGATGAGCAACTTGCTGTGGGGCAGAAGGTGACGAACGTCAGAGGGATCAATCCCCGCGGCAATCTCGCTCAGGATGGTGAGCGCGTGTGCACGCTGGCCCTCAGAAAGATATGGGATCTCAATGTCGACGACCGTATATCCCCTTTGGTTGCGGTAGAACTCCACGGCGGCGTCAAAGAATGCCCGGACAGTGGGCTCTGCGCGGTCAATCCAGGGCCGCACGAGACCAATCGTCTTCGCCCTGCTCGATTCCGCGGACGGAGAGAGAATGGTGGTCAACGGATCTGGAAAGCCGGAGGACAAGGCGTCGTCTTGGGCCGGCGCTGGAGACGCCATAACGCGGTAGGCCAAAGCGAGATCATCAATACTAGCCGCCATGGGCCCATAGACTCCGACACTGTGAGCCAGACTCGGTGTTGGCGCTGCAGAGACTCTCCCATGACTAGGTTTCAGACCCCAGATGCCGCAGAAAGAGGCCGGGATTCGAATCGATCCTCCACCGTCTGCGCCCAGCGCGATAGGCACCAGTCCCGCCGCGACAGCATAACCCGATCCTCCTGATGATCCGCCGCAGTAGTAGTCCGGGTTGTACGGGTTCCTGGGAGTGCCGTAGTTGGAATTGTTGTTGGTGGTATCTGGAAGAAATAATAGCTATTAGTATCAAATCTTGACAAGTGAAGCCAGAGCAGCCACCATCGTCGTTCTGTCTTCCATTCAAAGAAATCCAGAGAAGGAAAGATAACTGAGGGATTGTCCATAAGCCGAGAAGGATACCTACCAATTCCTATTTCATGCATAGTCGTCTTCCCCACAACAATGGCACCAGCCTCTTCCCACTTCCTGACGCACCACGATGTCTCTTCGATACCGTGCTTGAAGTCAATCTTACTACCAAGTTTTCTCGCATACCCTTTAAGATGGACCTCATCCTTCACAGCTACCGGGACACCGTCCAATGGGCCCAACGGCTTGCCGCTTTTGTAACGCTGAGTTGAGGCCTCTGCCGCCGCCCGGATGGCATCAACTTGAGACTCAAGAAAGGCCGTTGAATGCTTCCCTGGCGGATTGGTGTCCCGCCGGATCAAAGGAAGCAATGCCTCAATCACCGCCGAGGGTGTCAGTTCACCAGAAAGGTAGCGCGCATGATAATCCGCAGAGGTGTAGAATCCCAAATTATCGCCGTTCCGGCGCTTCGTCGGGACAGGCAGCTCGACTGGTTTGGATGATAACGACGCGTCATCCAGGATGGGAGTCACGGTTGGATCGAATCGAGGAGTGTAGTGGTCGAGATCCTTGATGCCGCGCGCGATATTCAACCCACCTTGGCGCCAGAAGATGCTCTGGAGAAAGTCCAAGTAATGAATACTGCAGAGTAAATAACAATCAGCGATTATGAGATCAAGAGCTAGACACCTCTTCTCTATCAGATTGACCAGACAGTGTCATCATCTTCATCCTTACATTGTCGCGCTAAGGGACAGAATTGGACCTCGAAGGACGGGAAGGGATAGTTCCTCGTGTTTGTACAGCACGGACGGGCCCTCACGGGGCTCGGGGTAATTGCGGAAACGCGCGCTCATGGCTGTGCAATTGTTCTGCTTCAGGCAAAGCTGGTGATTCCTTTTTGTCCAGAGGAGTGGATATTATTCTCACATTTTGACCCTGCCTCCTAGTTGTCGTTGGCGGAGCAGAGCTTAAGAGTTGCACGGCGGGATCGCGGTCGCTGACATCACACCGCAATTGGCCTGCATTGCCGCGGTTCAACTTCCAAAAAGGGACAGCTGTAGGACAGTAGGTAGAATGATAGTCGTCTATTAAATAATGATCCTAACCAGGTACAATTTTTTTTTAAATTTCCCCTTCTTGGGAAATATGATCTATAGACAGTATATATTACAGTTTTAGCTTCACGTTGAAAAAATCCAATATCAATGCAATGCCGCTCAGCACGGCCAAGTAGCCAACCAAAACTGCCATGGCTTGCCATGTATTTGCATCCAGGGTGTTCATGCTCAGATTCACCGCCCCCGTGAGCATGTTAGCAACCAGAAATATGAACAGTCCATTCTTGTTGAAGGCCGCCATGAGTCGGCTGGTCGCAAACGAAATTCGCTCAGCTTCACTCTCCTTGTCGGGCGCTCTATGCACGGAAGGAAACAAGACCGTTTCCAGAAGACAGAGCAGGAAGATCTGCGCATTATTGAACGCAGCGATCCAAAGCATGTACGGCATATTGGCCAGGCGGCGTGAGACCGGAATCCCAGCACCGTACCCGAAGACGTAGGAGGAATTGAGCAGGAAAAGCACCGTCCAGAACAGCGAAAGACTCGCTAACGACACAAGAACCCTCTTCCGGGCCTGCTGAGGGGTTCTAGAGGGGGAAGTGCCACGGGGAATTATGCGCAGGCCAGTGGCGCGACCGGCAAGGAATATAGCAAGGTAGCCAATAAAAGAGAAGACGCCCTCTCGATTCTTCGAGAGGAGATCTGGGCCGCGAGGCGAGATAAGAATGTAAGCTTTCAACTCGGTCGACTCGAGAGCTACTTGGTATGCGACCGCAATCAGGAGAGAGAGAACTTCGTAAGAAGGTATAACGGCGTATAGGGAGTGAAAGATCTCCACAAACGGAGGCAAAAGACCTAATGTGAAGAAAAAGTTCCAGTGTACGCCATACTCAGTCACATGCTCTGCATAGTCCAGTCCCTTAACGCTGTAGAGGCGTATAAGGCCCAGAATCAACAGCGGGATGGAGTGTCTCGTCGATGCCGCCAATCTTTGGGGCAATGTCGCGAAGGACGAGGCCGTTCGGTTCCTGAGGATCGACCGAGCGGACACGACACCCGCAGAGAAGACAAAGGATCCAACTCCCAAGTCCATCAGGGACGTACCCCAGTTCTCAACTTTGGCAAAACGCCGGGGAAAAACCTTGAAATCGACCGCCAAGATCGAAACGCAGGTGGCCACCATCATGGCAGCTCGGTACGTGGTAAGGAACGGATGGATTGGAAACGGATCCAAACGACCCTTGTTGTCCTGTTGCGTCTCAGAAGTTCCATCTTGCGTGTCCGTAGATCGTGGAGGTTTCGCTTTCTGAGGCGCACGAGTCGGTTTGGATCCCAATAGGATAAGGACGGCTGGAGAGACGAGAAGGATGTTCAGGAGAAGGGGGGAGGAGGAATACACCGTAGTCGCGAATAGGAAGGCTCCGACATTGAGGAGAAAGTCCGTCACGAGTGACGCGGCAGTGTATGGTGTGAAGAAGGAAAGGCGAGACTGCAGGGCAGACCACAGCAAGACAGCGGCCTGGACGACACTCGCATCAGCAATCGAGGTTGGCGCAGAAAAGAGCAGGATGAACTCACCGGCGAAACAAGTGTCACAGCATTGATTTCGTTAATAGTCCCACCCGTGTGATTCGACACGAAAGCCTCTTTTCGAGCTTTGTAGTCCTTATCCATGTTGTCGAATTCTCGAAATTCGCGCTAAGAACGAGCGAGATGAAGCTTCTGCAGCGAGGTTTAACTTATGAGATATTGACAATAACTGATGAGAGACCAAGAAGCTCTCATCTAGCGACCTGGTAGAGATAATCTGCGCGTTAAATAATCTCGTTGGTTGCCATAACCAGTCTCGTGGAAAGGCCACGAAATCAACTTGTCGAGGTCCGACATTGAGGTACCTTCCATGCGGAGTTAAAGCTCCACCGCCGACACCAAATCCCGGAGCCGTAACCAACTGTCTGGATGCTGCTTCGACAATCAATGCCACAATTACACGTACTCAGTACCTAGGTTAAGCCAGAATAGAGAAGTTTATGTTCATGTCCTATATGCCCTATATATTTTGCAAATATTGATTTTACAAGACCCTAAACAGCTGACAGCGGGAAGAAAAGGGTCATCATTGAGTCATCATTCGTTGTCTCATTGAAGTGTGATTCAAGCCAATACTATTTCTCAAAGTTCTCATTCTGCTGTCCTAGTTCTAGAATCTTGAGATATTCTCCTATCAAAAGTCAGCGACTGAGATCATGTTGCCTAGGTTGGTAAAGAGCTGAACTTACCTGCCACCTTCCATCGAGTACTCCAAAGTTTCAGCATCTCAGTGATTGCCACGAATCCTATTGTCATTTGCAGGTCTCCATTCTGGTTTTGAAGCCATGAGAAGCTAGCCGCTGCTTGGTATAAGCTGTCACATATCAACGGGCTGGCTTTCGACGGATCAAACCCGACACCGGTTTGAAGGTATTGAGAGTACTCCAACACGTCTTGCGCAGTCTTCCTGAGCCCGTCGAGAGCGATGGACTGCATCTGCATTTCTTCAACCGTGTTCCTTCCGTGATTCGACGCAATACACGGATGAGGATCATATAATGTAAACCACGCGCTGGCTACCTAGGTGCTCTCTAAGATCATAACGGCGTACCGAGATCGTCTCAGCTCCTCGTTTCCACTCCATGTGGTCAGTTTTATGAGCGTCTGAGGCGCCTGCCTGTTATGTAAGCCTAGTGCATATCCCAGTCTCGAGAAATGGTATGTTGAAAGATATGCTGCGGGATAGATCGCATTGGAGACTTCATAGATGGCGATCAGGATCGCAGCTTGCACGACATTGAGTGAAGGAAGACCTATACTTTCGACAGTCGCGAGGAACTGCTTAAGCACGACATACACAGGAATCCCTTTACTAATATTAATAACCGTTAAATCGGTGGATCTAATTAGATATCTGCGTCTTAACAGGTGGGCAAGTATTTAGATAGGTACTGTACAACGTAATATCCTCGGGATAAAAGCATTGGGGTCGTTACAGGGCTTAGTGGATTCCGTGGATATATATTAAACTAGGTCTACTCCGTACTCCGTATGGAGTCCACCATGTGGCGTTTATTTTATTATTGATAACGGCGGGATTTGCTTAGATCTGGGACGTATATCTAATCATGCTTGGTATTCCAAACTGTCCCAAAGAATGTCAGCTGGCCTTGGTACATTTTCGCTCAGGGTAATTAAACGATCCGCGGGACTCTTTTGTGTCATATATATGCTCAGCATTCCTTAATCATCATTCCATCGAATTTTACTTCCACAACTTTCACTTATGATCTGAGTTACAGAACTGAATGTCTCGGGAGAAGTTTTTTAAAAGACGATGGGTTTAATGATTCCATGCTCACAAATCATCATCAAGTTCCTTCTCCTGGTGTGTTGGCCCCAAAAGACCCCCGATTTCGCGGCAGTTCATAATTAACACTCAAGCATGTAAGCTCGCGACAGACGGTATGGTGGGATGCAGTACTAAAACCAGCTGGTCAACTGGCTCATGTGTCCACTGAAACCCTTGTTGCATCTTCAATGGAACTAGAATGACGACGGGGGCTCGAAGGATCGCCTCCAAGTTTCAAGATACTCCGGAGTATAACACCATCACTACCAACCATGCCTCAGACCTAGATATAGATGTCCAGTACTAACTCCATGCCTATCTAGGTAACATAGTAAACTCCCCACTGGTCGCCTCGTCCACCTCCAATGATGTTTCGATGCGATGAAATCGTTACTACTATTCTCGTACAGATCCCAAGCGGTGACCTATCACAAGAAGTTCATGTGGCGCAGTGTCTGGACCGTCTCCGACTACATAATTTAGGGTCTGCCTTTCGAGGGCCACCTGCATTGCATCAACGCCAGGTTTAGCTTACCGCACAGAGCCACAGACTGTCCCGGCTAACAGAAGGCCAGGCGGCTATCCCTTCCGACGAACTCCTTAGCGGTCACGATAATTCGCCCAGTTAAGGTGTCCAAGACTCCAAAAACCATTTTCCAACCGCGGCGCAGCTTGCGCTAGGTCTGATAGGCACGAATGTCGGGGCGAACGTAGGCAAAGGTGGCTTGCCGAGCACTCAAACCCCTGCTAAACTAACTCCGTAGTTATGCATCTTAACTTGGATGCTTAAAAAGTAGCGTCCGGAAGTGGCCTCGGATACTCCGTACTGGTACGGAGTACTGCCGGCATTGCTCTATGGATGTCATTTGCTTCGGAGCAATGGCTAACGGCTCAGACCAGAGCTACAGCTTTTATTGAAAGTTCTCCAGGTCAGTGTTGATGTTCGTATCACAGGTATTATTATTGATGCGTCCACTGGGAATCTGCCTGGTATTTCTCTATCTCCGTCTGATCCACAGAATTATCGTATCAGCCAAGCATTTCTCTTTGTTATCGATCTCAGCCGCTGCTTCGAATATGGCACTCTAATGTCCGCTGCGCGTAATCGCATCCAATAATACGGAGTAATAACAGGATCAGACTCGACCGTGGTTTGCTCTGCCGTCAGCAGGACTAGATATCTTGTGCACTAGAGCCGCGTCTGTGGAAGCCAAACAGTCCATGATCTTGAAATTCACGAGAGTGTTGGAGCATGCGCGGCATTCACCAAGCGCGCGCACTATACAGAGTTAAGCGTCCCTTGTGCGACATGCAAGTTGCATCCCCTGGTCCCCCAGTTTTGGCTATTTGACGCCGATAGGCTGCTTTGGTCTCTCAATCCGGAAAACCTAGATATCCGATCCTTACCCAAGTGATAGACCGTGGCGGCGTGGTCTAGCTAAATGGCGGGTCCACTTTCCGAATTCTCCGCAAACAGCTAGAATGTGTCGTTTGCCAGCCAGGTTGCAGCTTGCCGTGCGTGCCATGCCATTGGGAATCTGGGGTCCTAAGCCCTGGCCATGTTGTTACTTGTTGGCACGCCGTTGCCGCACGAGTACTCCGTACCTTCAATAATTGTCTGTGCGGTATACAATACTAACAGGGGGCGTTACTTAGTAACAATTACCCTCTATTACTATTTTTTTTTCCAGAATCCCGCTTCGTCTCAGCCCTTGCCGCCGGAGGCGTAGCCGCGTAAGGAGATGTATCCATTTTCTTCCTAGTTTCTCTGCAGCCCTCCGCTGATTCACATGGGTCCAGCAGTTTCCTGTGATACCAGAATTGGATAGGCGTCCCTTGGCCATGTAAGGCAGTCTATTATCATTATAATGTTCAAAAGACATCACAATGAGGTCCGGAAAAAGCGAGAGTCTTCCGATTGTCCATCCTCGTGTCTAGGAACCGTAATTGAAATCCAGCATCACCGTGCCACGGCTATCATCAGCGTTTGATATCTCTGGCGACGAGGTAGTGCGGCATGTTCTCTTCCCCTGCCAACGCGGCGTAGTCTGTAGCTAGGGAGTTCAGTGGTCAGTTAGGTGTCCCATATAGATCGGGCCATACCGCTTAGCCCAACATCTATCGCGCGTCGCGTTCCCAGAACCCGCTGTTAAGGTTTGGCCATCGGTGAGATGGAGCCTGGATCATCATCCATCCTATTGGCAGGCACTGCTAGTTGGTGTATGTCTTGTTCGCAACCGTCCAACCAGGCTGCCATGGACAGACACTCGGTTACTCGGTAGCCGCGTTAACATGGGGGAACTTGGGATGCCATGGAGCTTCCCGGGCGGTCGTGGCAAGGCGAAACCGACCGCTGCTGACGAGACCGATGGCGCTGCTGTCCGTAGACTAGGCCAGGCTTTCTCTCCATGCTGCCAGGCACATGGTCTTTTACGCGGACAGGACCACAAGTGCCAATCGCCAGGCCTGCGGTGGCCCCAAACAAGCCTACAGCGGCTAACGACAGCTCTTGGAGCGAGTATACGACGAGAATCTGGAGGATGAGACGAGATAAACGGGCAAAATGCGAGATTTTAAGGCCCAACACCTGGTAACCCGGCTAACAGTCTCGGAGGCCAGTGCCGCCATCCATGATCGGTGATCGATAGGATCCCTCATCTGTACATTGGTCGTCCTGTCTCCTGTGTTACCTTGCAAGTTGTTATTATCGTTCCTTGGGCAGGAAACTATTATATTTCCAGAACTCCACTCTTTGTCTCTCAGCACAGATTCTCTGTGTTTATGGAATGACAGACACCTCGGATTGTTGAAACGCGTTCTCTGCAGTTTTGGTTCGAATTCGAACTTCGATTCCTGGTTCTCTCGTCCTCAGAAAGGGCCTCCATATCTTTCCAAAGTGGCCTGTCCCAGCTGTCGTACCTCGATGGCCGAAAAGAACCGCAACCTCGATGGAATGCGTCCTGTCCCAGGCAGTCGCAAGACGGCGGGCTCTGGGACGGAGAGCACGGGAAGAAAGCGAGATTCTCGCGCCGGGACTCGAAAGGTAACCTCGCTGACGGCAGAACAGCTGGAAAGAAAGCGAGCAAACGATCGCGAGGCGCAAAGAACTATCCGTCAACGGACAAAGGAACACATCGAGAATCTGGAGCATCAAGTGGCCGAACTGAGCGCCAAAGGCGAGCAAATGGACAGAGTGCTCCAGAGGAACGCTGCTCTAGAAGCTGAGATCGCACATCTGCGGCAACAATTGTCTATGCTGAGCGGCAGAAGATCGATGTATCGCGTGGACGGTAGGAGCAATCCTGTCACCATCTGCCACTGCCCGTTTTGGTCCTTCATCCAGCCAACGAACCCTGATTGAATACCTTGTCGTGCTAATGACTTGTAGCTGGCGAAGATGAACGCAGATCATCAACGAGTTCGAACGATCCCAGCATCATGTCCTCCCCTTTCAACAGCCCTCTTCCTACGGATTCGATTCCATCGGGGGCATCCATTGCACCCATGTCCAACAGACTGTCGCTGCCCCATAGTGGTTGGCACTCCTACGTCCCAACTCCTTCATCGTCCGCCTGTGATTCCGATCCTTCCAACGACGTGGGAGCGTATCCTCTCGGAGAGCCCATCTCTACAGCGACCATCCAACAATCAGTGAATCATGTCGGGCAAGGACACGATGGGCTGGGTTTCGCCGTTCCGAATACGACTCAATTCCCAAGCTCGGATCCATACCACCACCAGATGTACCTTGCAGGCTCGCAGGTGAAGCAGGGAGGGTTCCCCCCTCATGCCCATTCTCAAGCACAGCCGTCAATGGTGGGACAACCACGGTCCATGGCAGTGTCAGTGTCGACGATGGGATATGAAGCCGGCATTTCGACTGCAGCAGGACAGGTACAGCAACAAGAAGGTCAGGAATTCCAGGGTCCGCTTCATCCTACGATGGTCCATTCGCACCCTGCCAACGCTCATCTCAACTATAATTGGGACTCGCGAACTTGAAACAGTGCAGCCTTGTCCAGAGGATTCTTCATGACGATCAGAACCCGTTCCCCTTTTTTTTTTCGTCATGCTGATCTGGGCACTGACTTTCCGTCAAGTCATCGGAAAGGCTGAAAACTCGACTGGGAACACTGAAAGGCTTCACAGGATCGGAGATGGCGGCCTGCTATGAATCATTCATCTGTAAGTATCTCTCAGGCTACGGTTCATAAGGGCCAATCAATTCTGACAATGGAGTGGGCAGGAGAGGATGATAACAGCCCTATATTCATGGACTCTGTTGGTTGTAAGCGAGTGTCGGTGCCCGCCCGAGACGCAAACCTGACCAGACAACGTGGAGGCAACCACCAAAATGATGATGGATACCAGCCAAAAGTCACGCACAGCTTATTTCTACCTACCTCTCATCTATCCAAACTCTTCACCGACATGAATTTCATACCAAGATATTACCTCATGCCTGATGCGGACTCCTCATTTCAATCTTGACGGGACGGGAGTGAAAGCTTTCATTTTTTTTGCCCTATGAGGTAACCTACACGATCGATGCCCCCAGTCTAAAACTGTTTTTTTCTCCTCTCTCCCATTCATCGTTACAGCGATCAAAGCTGAAAAGACACAATTTCGGGAATTTGATGACCCTATATCTCTTATAATACTTACCGCACGCAACATACCAATACTCTCATCAATGCATTAATGACGCATGACTTCGACAAAAAACAAAAAAAAAGCAAGAGGAAATGAATTGGCACGTCGCAAATAGTCATAATAAGCATGCACGCCTGACTTAGATAGAACAGGACACACAAACAAAAACAAAATTTGTCTCAAGTCATGAGAATGAGATATAGAGTACGTAGTTACACGGTAAAATCCAATCCCGTTAAGTCTATTTTATGTCACAAAGTGGTCTCTTCACCAGTTGGGCCTTTTTTTTTTATCGCGTATACTCTTTCTGCAATAGCTTCGCGATCGTCTGCAATTGGATGTTGCTTGTTCCCTCATAGATGGCTCCGATCTTGCTGTCCCGGAACATCTTCTCTGCAATGCCCTCACGCACAAAGCCCATTCCGCCCATCCACTCGACAGCAGAACCGGCCACCCGGCCTGCCACCTGCGACGCGTACAGCTTCGCCATGGCTGCATCCATGACGAAGTCCTGGCCGGCCTCCTTCTTGCGGGCAGCATTGTACACCAGAGCCCGCGCGGCGCAGATCTCAGTGTAAGCTTGGGCGAGCTGGTGCTGCATACCCTGGAAGGTCCCGATGAGTTGTCCAAATTGACGACGGTCGTTCCAGGCGTATCTACAATAAGATTTCAATTAGTTACTATAATCATGATCACACTGCGAATGAATTGTTCCCTAGGATGGAACTTACCCAGCAGCGTTCTCCCAAGCGCCCAGGGCCAAGCCAGTCATCTGGGCGGCAATACCAATACGGCCCTCATTCAAGACCCCAATGGCAATCTTGTAGCCTTGACCCTCCTCACCGAGCAGCTGCGACTTTGGAATGTGGACATCGTCCAGGTTGATGACGCAGGTGCTACTGGCACGAATGCCCAGTTTCTTCTCCTTCTTGGCAATACTAAAGCCAGGCGTGTCCTTCTCAACGATAAAGGCAGTAATGCCCTTGTATCCCTTGCTCGGGTCCAGGTTGGCAAAGACGATGAAGATACCGGCTTCCATCGAGTTGGTGATCCACATCTTGGACCCATTGAGCTTGTAGCCGTCGGCCGTCTTCTCTGCTCTTGTCTTCAATGCAAACGCATCGGAGCCCGATCCAGGCTCCGACAAGCAAAAGGAGCCCACTGTGCCTGTGGCGAGCATTGGCAACCACTTACGGTGGGCCTCAGCGGTGCCGTGCTTCAGGATGGCAGTATTGACAAGAGTGTTGTGGACATCGACCATCACACTGACGCTAGGGTCCACACGCGCAAGCTCTTCGATTGCGACAATAGCGGACGTGAAGTTCATGGCCGCTCCACCATATTCTTCTGGGATCTCAATCCCCATCAGGCCCTGCTCAAACAGCTGTTGCACCACCTCCGGGTCCATGGTCTCCGCCTCATCCATTTCCCGCACCTTGGGGCCAATCTGCTCCTTTGCGAATTTGGAGACTGAATCGGCCATCATGGATTCAGTTTCGGTAAGTTGTGTGATGGGCGCGGGAGTGAAAGCGGACAGGTCTGCATCTCGTCGGCGCGGCGTGGTCGAGAATGCACGAGCACTGGGAATGGATAAGCCATTAGTATTTCAGATGCTGGCGAAAGGCGTTACATGTAACACAAAAGGGAGGTATACCATTGCAATGTACGCGAGGGTAATGTCCGTCTCGCTGATAGTAAGCCCGAAGCAGCTGTGCGGGACAAGGGTCGCAACGTGCGAGACAAGGTCGCCATGGTGAAAGATGGGATATACAGGTTGAGAGATCAGGAAACAAGGAAGCACGTACAAAAACTAGGTATAGTAAAAGAGAACTTCCTTTATATCGGAGCAAGGAATTGGAAAAACAACAAATGGAAGCAGGAACTGAGAGATCCTGGAGGCGAATTACCCCGGCTGCAATCACGAGGGCCGCGACAGCCTCGGTTAAGCGCGGCCCTCGGCGGAGGAGCTACCTAACCCAATCAGTCCCGCGGGGAAGCGCGAGATAAGGCATGTTCCTTATTATTGACTTGCTGACGTAGGTACAGAGTAGTATGAAATAAGCTGAGTATATTTTTTACTTGTCTCTGTATATATAAAGAAAATCAGTCAGAAATAAATAAAATCTTGCTCATGGAATGACTAAATTGTATGTATGTACTAATCCGTCGCATACGTTACAATACCTACTTGCTACTATACGTTCAACGTGTCCTTCCATATCTTCGATAGTACGTGTCAAAGGAATAGATAGTTACGGTAAATAATCACCAAACAAACTCTGCCAGACGGTTATTCCCGGTTAATCGCAGTAGAAGGTGTGTTTTTCTAGAAAATGACAGATTACCACATCTGGATCCTCCACTCCACACGACGCCACAGTGGCGGTGCAAGACCGTATCCGCCGCTGTGGCGCAGCACTCCGAGGTGATAACGATTGGACATCCGCCAAGATCCCGCCAAGCAGACAGGCGCCGTGGCTCAGCACTGGCGCTTAGAAGTCTCGCATATATGGGGTCATGCAAACCCTTCCCATCTCTAAATCTGTAAATTTCTCTTTCTTCTTGAGATATTTTTTCTTGGGAGATTCACTGTCTTTACTCAAGAGGAGAAAACGGGAGGTTTTCTCATTCTGCGTTTGTTTCTTCAGTTTACGACGTCATATCAGCCCCACATTTTATATCCGGAGTTATATTTATTTTATTTACTCCCGCTCAGGCGTACTCAACCATTACGGGGCAATTCGACAGTCCCTTGAACTAGTCTCGAGCAGCCATGTCGTCGACGCTGCATGACCCCAGAATTCTCTACAGCGTCAACAACATCCGTGCCTTTCATCTGCAGAATGGCGAGGAAACCGAGCTTACCCCGTCTGGTCCACAGACCCTTTCCCTCTTGATGGTACCGACGACGTCTCCATACCAAGACTCGTCGCAAGCCGGGACTGGCGCGCAAGAGGAGGACTTTTACCTCCATCTGCATCTGCCTCCAGAATTGGATATGCCTCTGCCGGCAACCACCCAGATCTACCATCAACCCCCAGACAGCTACCTCATTCCACGTTGGGACCTTGGCCCGGATGCCGGAGCATTCATCAGACTAAAATTTCCTGGAATTGGCTCTGGGCCAGACAAGGTGACTCAGGAGGATGTCGACACATTTGAGACAATTCTCGCACAATGCACGGCCTTCCTCGAGCGCGCTGCTCCCCCAAAAAATCATGCGCCGTACAACCCAGCAGACTACGCGCCTGGCGAGGGTTACATTTCATCTACAGATGACAAATCCACAAAACGTCAGGGTCAGATAGTACTTGTAGATGAGGAGGATGGGAGCGTGATCGGAGAACTATCGGAGGGTTACCAAGTGGTGGAGAAACCTGGAGTAAAGCCAGGGTCCAAAAGTATGTCTGCTTTCTGCGCTCATAATACGACAGGAAAGTTTTGTGTGCTAACTTTTTCACCCTCTTCTAGACCCAGTCGAGATTCAGCTTCCCACTGAGGGCGAAGGAAATCGGATCAGCGTCAGCAATGTGTCTGAGGAGTATCTGCGGATGGCTCGACACCCTGCATACAAGAACTCGACCCTTGTTCAGGCATCTGCTATGGCGTCGCGTCTAATTGTGACGGGATCAACGTACTTAGCTAATGCTCTGACCAGCGGGGCGGAAAGTTTCACTCAAAAGACGAAACCTAACCCGAAGCCGATGACGTTCACGCCCACGGCACAAGCGCGCATTCGGAAGATTAACAAGCTCTCCCAGACTGCGGCGGGGCTGTCTGCAAAGACAGCTGGCCAAGCAGGCCGAATCGCAGAGAGCATAGGTGCATCTTTGGCGCGGCGCAAAGAAAACGGGCAACAAAGGGCATATAACAAAGACGGAAGTCCAGCTGATTACAAGCCCGGAGTATTGAATAAGTCACTGATCGCGTTTTCTACGCTGGTCGATGGCATCGAGCAGGGTGCGCGCACCGTTCTCAACTCTGGTGCCTCTGCTGCCAGCACGATAATCAGTCATCGCTATGGCGCGGAGGCTGGGGCTGTTGCCTCTGATATTGCCGGCGGGATCAAGAATGTCGGCCTGGTTTATATCGATGCCTCGGGAGTCAGCCGGAAAGCGATCCTCAAGTCTGTAGCCAAGGGGATGGTGGTTGGACGCATGCGCGATGGCAAACAGGTGGTCGTTGGTGGCGGTGACGGCGGTCAGGTCACGCCTGCCACAGGCGCAGGAGAAAAGCAGCAGTATTATGGATTCTACGGTGGTAATAATTCCGCGGGACCATCTCGGGACCCGGGCCAGCGCCGACCTTCACCGAGCCCGACTCCTCCTCCGCCGTACGGAGCTTCTGGGACTTATTCTTTGGGAGGGACGCCTGCATCTGGGAAGCACTAGAAATTTCTGATTCCTTTATCAGCTGTTTTCGACTTCTTTTGGGTTGTTCAGGATATTTCTATGGTCCGGTCGCTATGGAAAGACGGGTTGGTATTTGAATTTTTTTTGATGTATATTTTGTTGCCATTTTGTTTTGCCAGTACTGCCTAATTATTATGACAGGGACTGTATACACTGGGAATGTCATGAGATGAGTTGAGATGAAATGAAATGAACCCTCAGAGCAAGTCATGATTACATTTTGATACTTTATCTCTTCACCATCAGTACGCCACAACGGTATATCCATCGCATAGCTGCGTAAGCGTGACCACTCAACAAAAGGGCAAGATCAGTTCATAATGCTAGGCAACAGTTCAGCGATTGGTCCAGCTATCGGAAGACCGGGTCACGGGGACTACCTACCGACTTGGCAGGCATGTTTCAGACAGGGGAACAGCCTTGATGGATTTTAGGTATAACTATAACGAGTTAACGATCATATGAGGATAGCAGCTGGCCTGTCTGATTGTCTGATGGCCGGGACGGATGGGATGGCTGGCTATTAGATTGCCAACGCATCGATGCCATCCCCAAACCTGGTTTTTTTTGGGGCCCACTCCCGGACACCATTATTAATAATAATTAATATCGTCTATTATTATTATTGAGCCGAGCACTCTTGCAAGTGTGTCATGACCTTCGAGTCAGCATCAATCGTTGGAGCGGATTTTCTTGTCTTGGTCTGGTTGAGCCTCGCTGGGACGGTTCTCTCCGTTTCTGAAAGTGGAGGTGGCGTTGATATATGATCGATAGTGCACAGGTAGGAAAGTAGATAGATATACTACATATCCTATAAGGAAAATATATATAAATATTACCTACCGTTGATCAGTAGATATGCATTGCACATACAGCAGGAAGATAAATAAAGATAGCGTTCTAAACTACTGTTGATATGAAAAGGACGGGGAAAAAAAAAGTTCTATGACACTTGTGGTAATATATATCTGGGTAGGTTTAAAAGCCGACTGATGCAGGCACATGACGTTATATGCAAGCACAAAGTACATCTGGATTGAAGACTATTTCGACTTCATGATTTTTGCACTGTTGGCTATTGGCTGGTTCCGAACTCGCTTGCCTCGATGTTTCCACGTTCTCTCTGCTTGTCTTTAAGTTAGGGAAAGGAAAGGTTGCCCCACTGCCTACCGAGGGCACAATCTGAAGGTTCAAGGGAGGGACTTCGGAAGTCGCAGCCACTAAGGTTGTTGATTCCTAGGATGGTGGGACATGCTGATTGATTGATTGATTCAATCTGTGTCTTCTTCTTGCTGTTGTGGAGGACTGCCAGTCACATGCAGGTGAATCTGACAGCTGTCATGGCCTGGAAGCCTTTCAATCTGGATAAGCTGATAGCCTGATAGTACCGTACAAAGGCGCTTGTGTGCTCTTTTGGCAATCCAGCCCCCCTCCAAGGGTTCCTTTTGAGGTAAGTCACTCAGTCTTTGTTTGGTTAGTGCTCTGGGGCCTTGGGCTGAGTTTCCTGTCATGGTCTGTGCACACATTTAATGAGATGATACCTAGCCGAAGTTGCACCATAGGTAGCATTTGATAATCCCGAGAATAAGTAAGGTTCTGAGCAGGTATACAGGGTCGTAGCCTGGTCTCCTAGGTAGGAGGTGCTCCATGATCCATCCCTAGGTAGGGATCTCTTTCTTTCGGAGTATTTCGGGCCGTTGGGAACGGTAAACCAGCTGTAAGGTTCTGGCGTCTCCAGAGTCAGATTGGAGATAGCCTCTCTAGCGCCGACCTGCAATTGAGGGGCGTTTGTCTGCTTTTACTCCGTAGTTTCGTTTGACCCCTGCCCTGGCAGTAGCCATGGCCGATGAGCCCGCACGAGATTCGATTCGAAACCACGCTGTTGCGACGGCATCGACGACGGGCCTAAGGCCGACACTAGCCCGGTGGAGCCCCATCGGGGGCCGTGGCTAATTCATTTTAATTAACCCGCCCAGACGCGCTTCCGGCTCGGGGAGATACAGGAAACGTGTACAGAGTACCGCACCGTGTGGCTTCAAGTTTCCAAACCTGGTGGGCTGCGATGGCAGGAGAAGAGGAGCTGATGTTGCGATTATCAGCATCTTTATTATGTTATTATCATCGCTGTTGTCAATTGGCAACGGCGAGCAGGCGCCTTGGTTACTTGCGCCTTGCGGGCGGCCGAGCCGATGGCTAGCACCACATGGAGTAAAGTCCAAAGCACGGAGAACAAGTCGCCCGTTGAACGGCAGACAGGAAATGTAGGTACCTAGCTAAGTCTGCTAGGTACGCCCTGGCTCCCAAGGGATCTGTCGTTTTTGCTATCAAGGGAGGATCTCCTAGGGTGGCTGGATTCTGCTATTATTAGCATTCATAGCATTCGTAGAATGGTAGCATTCATCTGATTCTTCAATTGCTGTTGCCATGGTCTGGTTGAGCTGGTTCTGCACGCCCGCAGCCGCCCTGGAACTGCCGTAGGGACGGTGGTGAGAGTCCAATCACGGCCGGTACTGTATCCGACGGAACCAGAAAGCAGCATTCGCCATTCTTTAACGACTTGGGTGCCAGGCACCTCAGATCGCCCGGACACCACCATCAACAACCACGGTGTCGTGGCTGCTGCCCAGCGCGTGAGTGGAGGACTGGAGGGTGCAAGCCCCAGGGCCATCGCGACCCGCTTTCCCCCTTGGAGCTGGAGCCAAACCAAACGCGCCCGTCTGAAGGCGAGACGATCATCACCCGCAGCCCAACCCCCGTCGCCGAGTTATCGATCCTCGCTCCTCCCTCCCCAACTCTCTCTGTTATCTCTTTTTCTCCCACTCCCCTACCCCCCTTCTTCTCTTTTCTCTTTTCCTCCCCCTCTCCTTCGTCCTCCCCCTCTCTTACGCCAGCGCGTCGACTCGCGATCACGACCAGGCCGGCTCGCCGGCTTCTCCAGGTCCTGCCAAGGCGTCTCCGACCGAGTCCTCCCCCTGCTGAAATCGCACCCCCCTTGGGCGCAACCCCCGTCGTGGTCGTTCCCGTCGACCATGCTTGGCAACTGGGTGCGCTCTCAGGCTTGTCAATTCCGTTCCTCATAATTCTTGCGACCGTTCGATCGTTTCCAGCGCCTCTGGTCGGTCAGATTGTCGTCCGGGTCTGATTCCCCCGTACCGCGCGCCTATCGCTGTTTCAGGAGCCCGAGCCTTTTCGGCCTCCCAGTTCCCCCCTCCCACGAACTGCTTCGACGCGTCCGCGGGTGAGAGACAGGGTCACAAAATCCAGCAAAGATAATTCTGGGAGATTTATCTGCAGTGCAGGTTTTTGCAATTGTGTTGCGCTTGTTCTCTTCTTTTCCTTTTCGGTTTTTTGAACAACCTTTTGACGCGTTTGGGGTGGGTCTTCGCGCTGTCACCTGGTGTGCCTGCTATCATTTTTGCTGCACACAGCACTGTGCAACACGTTCAGTTATCCTGGATTCTCTCTACCATTATTGTCGGTAAATGCTCCCTGATCTCCCCCAAGCTTGCTCCCCACATTCCTCGACTGTAATGCCATGCCACGTGCAGTCTTCGGCTAACAAGGTGTCATTTCCTGATTTGACAGCTGTCATCACAGATTTCCTACTGTGTGAACTTTTGGTACAGGAAGCTGTCCCAAATTGCAGCAAGACAGCCTTCTAATCCCTTTTAAAACAACCCTCTGGGAGGCTTTGGTGTCTTATCACAGCTTTGATCTTTCCTTTTTGACGTCCTTTCTTCTCTTGGCTGTATTTCTTTGATCTCCCTCTCCCCCTTGCCTGTCTGAGAGGTCTTCCCTCACAACTCCGGCAGCGCACGCCCGCTGCGCCTTCGATTCGTTGAAGGTATGTCGTCTGCTGCTATGCAAACGATATCCCCACATACTTCGGCGCCAGCTTCCTCTCCCTACGCCTCCTCTTCGCATGCTTTCCAAGCCCGCACTCAACAAAGCTACTCACCGCAGCCTGCCGATGTGCCTTCCCATAACTCTCCCGCGTCGCGACGGCCGAGTCGCCAGCCGAGTGCCAATGCTGTCCATGTCAGCTCGTCTCTAGCTCCTCAGTGGCCGTCTCATGTTTCTCCATCCGACGCTATGAGCACCTCCACACAACAACAACAACAACCTTTGCCAACGACTACCCGTGAGGCCCCTGCCTCGCCGGTTTCTGCACAATCTTCGGGCCATAGTCGCAACCGCTCCCATGTCCCCGAGCCCCTAGGAACCCCGCCAATTCCTCCACGAACCTCGTCAAACCAACGTAGCCGCCACCACAATTCTGGACATTCGCGGAACGAAGGAAAAGACCGTGGTGACCGTGAGCGGAGCGCGACAAGCAGAGATAGGCCAATGGATGAAACCAGCGCTGGAGGCGGTCGGTCCCGCCGGAAGGCTCCACAGTCTCCCGAGGGACCACCGCGCGCCACAAATGCGAACGAGGCGCAGGATCAGTCCTCCACTTCTGCTCTCCAGAGCCGTTCGGACGCCGCGATGGGAGCTCCGTCAGGACAACCCAGCCTGGTCAAGGAATCCAGTACCATCATCAATCAAGTGGTGATTACCGACCCCGCTGAGGACATTGAGCGGGAGAACGCTCGCCAGATCGAGGCGCAACCTTCATCCGCCGTCGGGCTGACTCCTGTGACCGGGCTGAGTCTGGTGGGCGATGAGGGCGTGGATGACGGGGGTCGTGGCGGATTGAGAAGTAGACATGATTATTCCAGCAACTCGGGCAGAAAGAAGGAGACCACGTTCGGCCAATATATCCTGGGCCAGACCCTGGGCGAAGGAGAATTCGGGAAGGTCAAGTTGGGCTGGAAAAAAGATGGCAGTGTTCAGGTCGCCATCAAGCTGATTCGTCGAGAGAGCCTAGGATCCAATCCCAGCAGGCTGCCCAAGATCTACCGGGAAATTTCCATCCTTCGCGAGCTTTCTCATCCAAACATCGTCCGGTTGCACGAGATGGTCGAGACGGACCGCCATATTGGCATCATCATGGAGTATGCGTCCGGTGGAGAGCTCTTTGATTACATCTTGAACAACCGCTACCTGAAGGACAATGCCGCCCGACGTCTCTTCGCTCAGCTGGTGTCGGGCGTGGGCTACCTGCACAAGAAAGGCATCGTTCACCGCGATCTGAAACTGGAAAACTTACTGCTGGACCGGAATCGCAATATCATCATTACGGACTTTGGATTCGCCAACACTTTCAATCCGAATGACGAGCTCGGGGAAGAGATCGAATACAATCTGACCAACAAAGAGTTCGTGAAAAGGATGCGCCTTGACAAGGTTGATGCCAACGGAATGAGACGTGGCGATTTGATGCAGACAAGTTGCGGCAGCCCCTGCTATGCGGCTCCAGAACTGGTCGTGAGTGACTCTCTGTACACGGGACGGAAAGTGGATGTCTGGAGCTGCGGGGTGATCTTGGTGAGTTTAGCTTTGAGAACGAATTTCGACCGATTTGAGGCAGCCGCTGACTCGTTTTTTTTTTTGTGTACGTATGTAGTATGCTATGCTGGCTGGTTACTTGCCCTTCGATGATGACCCTGCAAATCCAGAAGGGGACAATATTAACCTCCTGTACAAGTACATCGTCACGACCCCCTTGACGTTCCCCGAATATGTCACCCCCCATGCTCGTGATCTCTTGAGACGGATTCTCGTTCCGGACCCCCGGAAACGAGCTGATCTATTCGAAGTCGCCCGACACAGCTGGCTCAGTGAATATTCGCACATTGTGTCTCACATCACAAGCAGTACAACCAATATCAACGACATTGCTACCACTACCGTCCCTCCTGGTAAGTGGTGCACCTTGGCAAGCTTGGTTTGGCGGTATCGTATGCTGACACTTGGAACATCAGAAGGAACACAGGAAGGTCCATCACTCACCCGTAGCGCCTCAGTCCGGGAGCCTCCGAAGAGTTACCAAAGCAGCACGGCACCTCTTGGTGGACTCATTCACCAGCAAGGAAAGATTTCTCAAGATGAACAGACCGAAAAGACCAGGCGTGATGCCAAGAGGAGAACTGTCCAGGTGGAATATGTTGCTCCTCAGTCCCAGACGGCTCGTGGCGAGGCGCCCACCAAAAATACCTCCAACACAGCTGCTCCTTCGTCTGCAGCGACCAAGACGCCTGCCGTGTCGGACAGTCGCGGTGGTACTGACCAGTCAACGTCACTAGCAGCGGCCCAGAACAAGCCGTTACCAGTTGATCCTCCCGCTGAAGCTGGTTCTCGTGGGACCCATGTTAAGGCGTCGGGTGCTACCCAAGAACTGCCACCGACCCATGCCAATATGCCGCGTTCCATGTCGGAATCTGCTGGAACTTCACTGGGGAATCAGGCCCAGTCGCAAACGACGCGCCCAAATACAGGTCATTCCATGGCCTCGCTCAATGCTGGGAGATTGCCTTCGCGGGGTTCCTATGGTCAACCCGTGGCTCCTACTGTGGCTGCCACCAATGCTCAAGGCCGACTGGCACAGCCGAAGAATGGCAAACAGTATTCTATCTCGTCGCCTATTCCACAGGATTCCTCAAGCGCGTCCATTGGGCGTCCCAGCACGCAGCAGTTGCCGGCTAAGTTCAATGCGACTCCTGCACAAGAGCCACCAAAGGGTCATAAGCGATCGAACACGGTTAGTAGTATCGGTGAGAAGATTTTCGGAAGGTCCGGATCACTGTTTGGCAACCGTGGAAACCAGGCTGCTGGTCCTCGTCAGAAGTCGGGCAAACGTTATCCTCCAACCAGCATGAAGGAGCCCTATGCGGGTGACGAATCCAGAACTTCACTGGATTCCCGGCGCTCGATTTCCTACGCATTCAATCGCAAGCAGAGCGATGCCGCGTCGGAAACCCGCCCGCGGAGATTCTCTCTTCTTAATTCGCTGAAGGGCCTTGGATCTGGAAAAGGAGACCAACAAACCGATGGAGAGCCCCAAACCGGTCATGATCAGGATTTCTCACGGCCGGCTACCGGTCCGACTGGACCTTCGAGTCGGACGACGACAGGGTACGGTGCCTACGAGAACTCTCAGAACTCTCAGAAGGAGGCGGAGCCACAGCCACAGGATATGAGCTATGAAGCGCAGATTGAAAGACAATTTGCAGAGTTGCATGAGAGTCAACAAAATTTCCAGGCCGATGCCTACGCCTCGCAATCCACCGAATACGGATCATCCCAAAATGACCTTCAGCCTCAGTATACCAATCAGTATGGTTATCAATACGGCTATGATGATAGATCACGGCCTTCGGTTCAAGTGACCCGGTCGAAAGGAACCGTGCTGCAGAAAAACAGGAAATTCGCGGATGCGTATGAGTATGAAAGGGATCTTTCACACCATTCAGGGAGCTCAGGCGCTGCCAGGAAAGTCATGGACTTTTTCCGACGCAGAGGCAAGGCGAGGGCCGGTGAAGATCGATGAGCTCAAGTGTAAACGATTCGTCCTGTTAAAAGTTGCGGCGTGTGGATCAATTTCCTGAGCTCTGGCCTGCGAATGGCAAATTGCTTTGTCCTGGAAGGAGTCGAGAAGTCGGACCATATCTGTGGCTTCTCGTCGCGCACTCTCCCTCGAGGATCTTACCTTTTCATCGCGCTCTCTCGGCTATCGCTTGGCAGGATGAGTTTGTTTGACGGATACAACTGCAGAATTCGTTGATGTGGCCAGCAGCAGGAGGATTCTAGGTAGGGTCAAAGAAAGAACCGTCGGTGCAAGAGTGTATTGTGATCGTGTTGCAAGGCCTTGAGAAAAAGAGGTCATTTGGATACCCACCCATGATACCCCCCCCATAGCCTGTTGTCTCTCCTATTGTCCCGTGCAAGCGATTTGACAGTCAAGTTTCTTATCTTGTCATGCTAACTGCTTAATTCTTTCGCATACATGCGTACCTAATTACCCGGCATTTTACCATTTCCTTTGTGTGAAAATAAATTTCCTTTGTTTCCTTTGTCCAAAGTTGTCTCCTTTTTGTTACTGTGTAAACTGAAATCTGAGCTACTCAATTCATTGTTCCGGCCTTTTTCTTTGGGGAGATTCTTTCTTTGTTAAGGTGGCTCGCTACACCTCGAGTCTGGGATGCTATTTGTCTTTTTCCATTCTCTTTTGTGTCAGTGCATGTTTCCTGGGATTAGGATTGTCAGTCGAGGGCTGGGGATAATCTGATTTGTGATTCTAGTGATTCAACTTTGGTTCACAGTTTGCTCTCTTGAAGCATAGGGGGTTTAACAAAGGAAAGTTTCCAGTCTCTTCTCCCTAGTCCAATGTCAGTGGCAGTACCTTTCACATAATGCCAAGCAGTTGAGTATGGACCCTGTATCATAGCATTCTGGGCCAGGTGCATGCTCCTTGTCAAGATGACAGGGAGCTTGTATCCAATAGAATTCAATTCACTATGAATTCTCCAATCATCTGGCCTCTACACACTAAATATATAAGGTGGCGGGACGTTTGTAAACTCTCGCATCCACGTGTACAGAGGTATGTAATGAGCAAATCCCCTCCAAATCCCCTTCTGAGCCAGTTATCACAATGGCATGATAAAAAGTCCAATAGAAACTCGCCATCTTCGCTCGTGCTCACCGCCACTTCCCTTTACGGGCTTAGTACGGTGTACCTAATCTCCATGTCTTAGGTACTTCCATCTCACAACTATGCATGCTTTGTTTGTTCTCGCCACCGGCCATCCGTCCTCGAAGATGGAGCGCTTCATTAGCGATAGCTGTCAAGCAGACCGTAAAGATGATGTATGCCATAGATTTTGACTAGATAGGAGGAATCTTCGCTAATAAGAAAAAAAAAGACAATGACGTAAGAAAATCAGGGGAAAAGAATAAAGAGAGTGAGGAGAGATATATATGATGAAATAGGTTAATTATAAGCACAATTTCCGTCAGCGTCGATTAGCTTCCATCAGGAATTAAGGCCTTCCTTGTTTTTGTCTCTGGTGTCTGATTGCGATTGCCTAAGATGACTAAGAACTATTAGAATTTCTAGTTAGTAGTACTTCAGTTCGGTAAACAGATTCAGTTAGACAGTACGGAGTACTCTGTACCTAGATAGATCGAGAGGCAGGTACCTCGTTTAGTGGTGTCGAAGTCTGGTCTGTAAGTAGGGTATGCATACATTCATTCATGGGCTTTTCTTTTGGTCAATGATACGAGTGATACAGACGTCCGTCCTTTTTGATGAATTCACAAAGAAAGGAAAACCATTCAAGCAAGCGAGCACTGATCTCCAAAATGAGATGAAAGAAATGAACGAACGACATTTTACCTATGGAGCCTCTCCTCCCCTCCAGAGTGGGACTTTTTTTTTTTTTGCTTAGATCTCTACAGAGTACAGAATACTCTGTACTCTGCTGAGACAGTTTAGGCCAATATACCTACCTACATGCATAGAGGTATGTACTTAGACGGCCCGAGTCGCCAATCTCGACTTCATGAAGCTTCACCTTTGGCTCAGATAGGTAAGTGTATGTACGGAATACTCCTTCCAATAATCCATACTCTGTACGGAGTACTTACTCCGCACCATCCCCTACCTGGGCATAGTATGGTATAATGTACCTACAGTACAGCCTGTACAGGTATACACCCCCACTGAGGTGATCGACACTGTTGCACAATTCGCAAGTCGTATACAGAGTATACATCTATGTACTCCGTACTCGAGACTGTGGAGCAAGTACTCTGCTCTGTGCGGAGTACCTCTGTTTATTATTATCTCTGTCTCCCTTACGGTTGTTTTTTTTTTCTGTCCGTGTCTTGTCTGTCAGACAGGAGGGACTGCGGGGAAGACCCACCCAGGTACCTAAGGTTACGTATGTACATACATACAGTAGTGTACGAGATCTGACACGGCAGGAATGCCCAGTATGGGCTATGAGAGTATACTCCTCCGTACGGAGTATTACTCGATACAGAATGTGCTTTTTATTATACGCGTGTGGGGGTGGATATGGAACAGAACACTCTGTGGGTGAGTTTTAAACAGGTATGTACTCTACATACTATGTACCTCATGTAGCTAGGATAAGTATGCTAAACGGCTATTGATAGATATCTGTCAGGCATGATTCTGGGCGTTCGATTGATTTTCTTACCCATAAAAATAGAAATAGTAGTAGTAGTAGAAGAAGAAGAAGCAGGTGGTTAGCCGAGACAACGAAGTTGCGAACAGATATCATGTCTACAGTCGACCCCTTAGGTTCTAGATTCTTGGCTTATCTATTTTTTTCTTTCTCTTTTTTGTCTTGTCTAAATAATATCGTCAGGTAGGAGGCCTAGGCAGGAGCTATTAGCTAATTCTTGGCTAAAGGATCATCATCGTTTTCCGGTGGCAATAATAATACGATTGCACTGTAGGAGTAGGAACACATTAATATAGCATGTGTCTGTCAAGAATTATTATTAACAGTTGTAATCTGCATTTTCTCTTTCTTTTTCTTTTCTTTTCTTTTCTTTTCTTTTAGTTTTTTTTTTTCCAGATAAGAAAGATGTACAGTATTACTCTGTACTTCGTACAAAGAAAGCAAAAAAAGGGGGAAGCCCTAACTAAACTATTAGGTAGTTACTCACTAACCCCCACGTCAGCTGACCAGTGTAAAACTATTTATGGGGCCAACCTTTTTTCCTCTGAGACAAAACAAGACAAGACAGCCATCATTTATTACTAATTATACTCATCTAGAACACTCTGGAGAAGAGAAGAAAACAAAGAGGACTGAGACTGTGATATCTCAATTTGATATTGTTTACATATACGTACTGCATCACTGGCTGACGGACAGTGCGTGCACACAGACCTGTTTTGTTTGTTACACGATGCGGGGATGACAACATGCTTACCCCCCATCTCCAATCCTCCTTCCCGGTCCGTCTGGTATCGGTCTGCTTAACGTGAAACTCTAGTGGCCGATCCGGGGCAACGGAGGCTTGGATAGCCGAGTTTAGCTAGGCACTGACCTGCGTACTCCGTAGCTTAGTTGATAATTACTTGCCAAGTGTATGTTTACATAGGGATCTGCCTATCACAGTCGTCACTGAAGCTGTGTTTGCTGGGGCTGATTACGTGTTTTCTACGAATCGGTTGGACGGAGATAGTAATTGATTGACATGGCGCGCTATGAATGCATGATGATCATATCATACTCCGTATCAAAATGTTGATTTTCTTGATCTATTCTGCTCTCTGATTTGACTTGATTTGCTTCGAATAGTAACACATGCATAGAGAGAAATGAGAAAATGAGGAGAGAAAAAACAAAGCTTGACCCCGCGCCCCGAAGAAAATCGCGTCCCTTTGCATGTGATTGCTTGCAAGTTTGTTGTCATCTTGTCAGACAGATTGTCGTCATAAATCCGTTGTGTCAAGACTTGGGGTGGGTAAAATAGAGAGAACGCCCCATGCGGAGAAACCAGTGAGTGATGTCGTTATCGCAGGATCACTGGTCAATGTATGCGGATCCGATCGGTCTGAGGCTCGCATCATTCGAAGACGATTTTCTCCGCGCGACTCGCGCTTCCGACAGCGTTATTGATGAGAGACAATGGCTGGAAAAAAGACTTGAAAATTGTCTTAAATGTCGTTCATTTCAGTTATCTGCGCAGAGTGGGCTTCTGCTTAAGAAGTGGACGCCCTCCTGTTGGTGCTGTCGTATCCCAGCTTGAGGAAGCCATTCGTAAACGGCGCGGGGGCTGGTCTGCTGGGCTTGGAGGGGTTGTCAGGGACAGCTTCCGCTGTAGCAGCTGCGGGCGCTCGAGAGATCGGGGCAAGGACGAGGAATCTCTTGTTCAGAGTGTCGGCGAACATGGTGAAGGCTTCGAGAGAAAGTATGTGTCTTGTTTTCTTGCAGACTGCTTGTATCGCTCTGTGGCAGTGAGAAGAGGAGGGGAGTGATCTGGTGGTGTGAAAGAAAGAAGGTTTCACGTCAAGCCTGGCTGGTGAAAGAAGGGTATTTATGTGTCTGGTGGAGGGGCATAATCATGTGAGGGAGCTGTGGAATAGGCCTGCTACAAATGACAGGGAGGACGACAATCACCGTAGATAACGGTCCTCCAAGGTTATCGACGGAGCGCGCACGACAGACCGCGGCGGAAGCAGCTGGCTGGCCGGCCCAGGCCATCCCTGGCCGCTCTTCTAGAAACGTGGGTGGTGATTGCCGAAACGGGACACCCCGACACTCTACACCGTAAATGGAACAGGCAATCGCTCCCTCTCCACCGTCGCAATCCTCCTTCTCAGCAGATCTCGCCTCAGCTTCACAAATAATAATCTCATGCCTGCTCGAGATGACTCTTCAACCTATCATCGTTCACATTCCCGTGGTTATCGGCGGCCAAGTGACATAACGGACCCGAGGTACAGATTACGGAGTCCCTAATGCAACCTTCCGTGTCCCGCCGAGCGTTTGCCCAGAACAACCTCGGAAGATCTGCGTCGGATAGTTAGACAAGACAAGACAATAATCCTCGACCCGTCTCATTTGCGGAGTAACTAATAGCTAATGCTCCAGGTGGCCGCGCTGATCGACTCGATTCCGTCATTCGAGTTCCTCCAGGCGCCAGCAGCACTCACAGCATGCGGCGTGGCATCAGCTCAACCCACCGCCAGCTGAGAGATTCCTCTAGAACAATCTTCAGCTGACAGAAAGACGTCCTGTGCCGTAACGAGGCCAGGCATTCTCCAACGGCGATTGCAGCAGACTACTCTGTATGTACTTCGTACGTACACACAATATCACGTGAACCAAGGGGTCCTCCTGATCGGCGCGACGCCAAGCGACCGAATTCCCCAAAGCTAGTCGCCGACGTATCCATCTGGGTGTTTGTCATCCAATGATCCAGCAACCACTTGCCTTCTATCATTCTAGGCGCTGAGAAATACGGCGCAGAATGGCACCGCTCTGAGGCTGTCTCTGGCTGTCTTCTCTGTTCTTACGGCACTGAAGCACCGAGTTCATTCATACAGATTTACTGTACCTTGCCGCCCAGCCGCAGCGGCAAAGGTCTTCTTCATACTTCCTGTCAATCATGTGTGGCGCAGACGAGCGCGGAGGCTCGTTCGTCCATACGACTCCAAACTTCGATCTGCCTACTCGGATTCGCTGCCGTATCGCCTGGATTCTCGTAGCTTGACCCAGCCAGCTCTGTTTCGGCAATCGACAACCTTTCGTTGACGGACCCGTCGTGCCTGCTTGCAGAAATCTATAGGCAACGGGCTTCTTGACTTTGGAACCTGAGCTTAACGATTAACAATTAATGGCGTTCCCAGCGCAGTGGAAGGTCTAGGCACCACTCACTCATTGCCACTCCGCGCCTGCAAACTAGCTAACCGCCGCTCCGCCGCTGGAGAGCTATATAGTACTACTACCGATGTGCCTCAAAATCTTGACATCCTGGCTCTGCAATTCTGGCTACAGGATTGGCTCGTCGTGACCGATGTTGGCTCAGGTCCCTTCGTGCTATGAGCAATAGCTGTTTTCGAGTTGCATGTGTCACCAACATTCCATTATCGATTCCTCCTATTCGCCTGGATCTTTGATCAGGGTCTCACGATGGCATCGACATGTTCTTTGATGACAATGTGATTGCCATTTCGAGCCGGGAAATCTCCATTTGCCCAAGGACCTGCGAGTCTAGAAGAGATTTTACCGCTATGTGGAACATTCTAGAGCGCGGAGGCCTATCAACACATTCCCCATGACGAGATGACCTAGCCGCTGTATAATGGTCTGTGGCAAGGCAGATCATGTTATTTATCAGAGCAAAACCTGGAATTAACCTTATACAGTGTGATATTCACCTCAGGGAAGGCACACAGGGAACCAACGGGGCCTTCGGAGTTACAATGGTCGAGGCAGAACAAGAGACAGGCCGTTGGTAACTGAGGAACATGTGGTTTCGTTTACACCGGCATGGGGTGTGCCTCTGCTATGCCGACAGATTTTTTTTTTTGTTGAATGACACCCTCTGAACGGCGATAAGGCAACCTTCGCTCTTCTTTTCCCATTCCGGCTGACCTGTGAACCTGCAGTCTCTTGCCCCCTCCCTCCTTTCCGCCTCGACGGTCTGGTCGCCGTTGTGCATGAAATTGACCAGTAATCACCCTACAACAGCCAGGATTAACCGGCAGCTGTCAATACCTGGCGAGAAGAAGGTCTCAAAAGTGCACGTAGTCGCGTATTAGCGCGCGTAACCTTCTGTTGGACTCTCACAAGATCTTGCATGACAGCAGGTTCTGCATGCAGATCCCTTGACATGCTGCACAACATCCAAAGTACCTCGGGATGCGCCGTTTGTGGCACAGTTCTTGCACCTTGCACCCTAGGTTGACTTTCATTTGCCCCCCTAGGGTTGGTGACAGCCTTGAGCAAATCCTAAACGTGTATAAAGAGTCCTAGAAGGACCTTGAGACTTGGTCAGTCAAAGCATTGTCCGTTTCTTTGACAACAAGAAGAACCACCCAAATTTTGTTTGTCATTGTCTTGTGATCAGAAACATTCTCTTATCTTCTTACATCTCCGCATAACTTCTATCTGCCCTGAACGCCTCCAAAGTCTATATATAAGCAAGCACTCCCTTCAAGTCATTCGAGAAAGGGGAAACGACACTACCGCCAGCATGTGTTCCCAGTATTACATCCAGTATGACTGCGGCTGTCTCATCCAGGAAGGGGACGTCGTTTACTGCGCATCACGAGGCACCCCCGGCCATAGTGTCCGAAAGCAGATCCGACGGCGTGCAGGGTACAACTGCCCAGACCATGGAGGGTAGATAAGAGGGTACATTAAGCCAGCAGGCAGGCAGGCAAGAATGCCAGGTAAATGAGGACGAACATAGCAAAAATACTTATTTCATTGAGAGCTATCTGGCTGACACGGCAAAAAAGTGCTACAGCATCGATCTCATAAACTCGTTTTATGAGAAAAGCGAGAGAAAAGCGAAAGAGAATAAATTCAGCGTGAACTACATGTGGCAGCTACTGGCTTTGTCTCTGTTTCTGGAAGGCATCTACAACAACTGATTTTTGTTTAAATTTTACACGAACGACATCT